ATTAAAAGTTTAAAAAAAAATGGTGCGGTGAGAGTGGATTTTCTTTTGTAGTAGTGTATCAATTCCCCCTTGGTTTTTCTTTAAACCATGGTTCTTTTCCAAGGGTTTCATTTGAACCGGGTGTAGTTAGTTTTTATTTTTTTAGTTAGGAACTTATGGGCTATGGGCAGGATTAGAATAGGATCTCGTAACTTCGTAATGCCTTGAATATAGCGGGTACTTAGTGTGATGTTTAGGCTCATTTGTTGACTCTTGTAAGAATCCCTTAAACTGTATGTTCTTAATTTGGCTTAAATACTCTGATCTAAGTGTTTGATGATCCGATCTGGAGTAAGTCATGTGCCATATGTGTGAGAGGCTTGTTGTGTTCTGTGCACGATATTTGATGCCTAGAACTTGCCATGTGTGTCTGCAAAGTGAAATAGTAGTCTTGTTTAGTCTGGAAAGTGATATAGGCATTTCTTTGTTGAACCTTATATATACATATTCCACCCACCTAGTTGTTATGTATCGTAGTTAACCTCGTTGAGTCTTAATCCTATTTCCTTGGCGACCACATTGCAAGCCTTATCCCTTGTTTGAATTGACATCTTTTTGAACCCTTCACCTCTCGTAAGCACTTGAATTACTATGAATCTATAAAGGATAAAGTGTGGGGTAGTTGGTGGGGCTTTTGAGTGGAACTAAGGAAATCAGGAGAAAGGTGCACCTTGTTAAAAAGAATGTGTATCATGTGTTAATAGTGTATCATGTTGATTAGTAATATTCTATGGTGGCTTTTAAGGTGATTGTGCTCAAAGAAGTGTGGGGTAATTTACGTGGTGTTGAAGGTGAAAATATTGGTTTAACTTAAGTGTGGGATTGATTATAAAATATATGTATTAAAGTGCTTGGGGAGGTGTAGTCACTATTATATCCAAATATATCCTACCCGACCTGCAGCCTAGATTACAGCCAAATAAAGTCCTACTTGATCCTAGACTGAACAAGCTCAATTAGTAGAGTAGTACACTAGGGGCAAGCCTATGGAGCGTTTTCTGTGGCACAAGAATATCATTTCTGAGGGTGAGTGAATTCTGTTTGTTTTGAAGTTCCTCAGTGTGCGTGAATTTTATTGATTGTGGAATGAGTCTCTTTTGTAGTGAGCATGCACTTGATTCATGAAGGAGAGGTAAGTTCGGACCTCTGAATAGAGTAATAAGCCGGCTAGGAATATTGCGTGGCTCGCGGGAGTCTACTCTTGAGGTGTAGATGTTACACTAATGTATACTCAAACTATGTGAAATATTCTTGGTGTGACGATTTAGGGAAGTCGCTCAATGAAGTTAGGCCTCTGTAGAGTGTGGTTTGATTTAAGTGTGGAGTGTTGATAGTAGGCTATATTTATGCAATTTAGACACTATTTATACTTTAATTTAGCCGTACTTTATTGATATTTGAATGCTAAAAGATAACAAAATTCTCTAATTAAGACTTTTATGCTTTGCAGGAGTCACTCCGATCTAAGAGGATGCGAAAGAGTGTTTTGGAGTCAATATGGAGTGTGGAAGGCCAATCGAAGGTTAGCCCGATCGAAAAGGAGTGAGAAAATCAAGCGGGGAGGTCCCCTCCAGGTGCGCGGCCGCGGAGTTGACCGCGAATTGGACCACGCACTGGAGGCAGAACACTGGCTGAAATCCGCGGACGGAGGCCAACAACTCAGGGGCAATTATGTAATTTTTAAGGCAACTAACCTAAACCTATATGAAGCCTAATTCGCCCAGAAGAGAGGGAGTGCTGTTTTTAGGAGATTTTGGAGGCAAGAACAAGAGAGAGAAGACAAAGAATTTTCTAAGAGTTTTCATCTTCTTCTTCTTACTTCCATTGTTGATTATGAATTGTTATAATGAATTTTTATCCATTAGTATGAGTAGTTAAACCCATCATCTAGGGTTTATGGAACCAATTATTGGATGAAGTTTTGACTATGTTTAGATATAATTGAGCCGTTCTTATTTTATGATTGTTCAACTATGTGTTGTGTTGTGATTAATTGAAAGGCCCCTTGATTAATCGTGTCTAGTTACCTCGTATTGCTTGAGAAAGAACACTTGGTTAGATTGTTATTGAACAACACCACTTTCGGGTAAGTTAAAAGATTAATTACTTGAATTTAAAAGCAGGGTTAGAGATAACGAAGCTTTGGTGGAATAATTCTGAGTTGCATAAATTATTAACTAGAGTAGTTCGAGAGAATGCTTCTAGTAAATTATCGTAATTGATCGAGAGATAATTACGGTATCCCGGAACTCATAATCTTCATAGAGTATTACGGCGAGATTACAGCTAACGTGTCAGGAATTAGTCCGGTAATTGGGAAAATCAATAGCCCTAGATCCTTTTAACCTTTGAATTCAACCTTATTCTTGATTATTTCTAATTTTGTAGTCATTTTTCATTAGATAAATAAATTCCACTTATGTTCTATTAAAAATCTTGCATCCGAAAATTGCCTGAGCTTATCATTAGCATTGTTAAAAGTTGTACTAAATAGGTTAGTTCCCTGTGGGATTCGACTCCGGCAATTGGGGAAATAAATAGCCCTAGATCCTTTTAACCTTTGAATTCAACCTTATTCTTGATTATTGCTAATTTTGTTGTCATTTTTCATTAGATAAATAAATTCCACTTATGCTATATTAAAAATCTTGCATCCGCAAAATTGTCTGAGCTTATCATTAGCATTGTTAAAAGTTGTAGTAAATAGGTTAGTTCCCTGTGGGATTCGACTCCGGACTTGAATCGGATTATATTTGCAGCGACTGCTTAGTCCTTTTTATAAGGCATAGTTGGGCGTGATCACTTTCTCAGTAGAAGATGAACCTAGTACTTTTCAGCAGGCTTCAACTGATAGTAGATGAGTTGCAGCTATGCAAACAGAAATCAAAGCACTTGAGGACAATAATACTTGGGAGATAATAGACTTGCCAGCTGGGAAGCAGGCCATTGGGTCAAAATGAGTATACAAAATTAAATACAAGGCTAATGGAGAAGTAGAGAGATACAATGTAAGGCTGGTTGCCAAAGGGTATAATCAAAAGGAAGGGTTGGACTACCATGATACATTTTCTCCTGTAGCAAAGATGGTAACAGTCATGACTATTATAAGCATAGCTATTGCAAAGGGCTGGCATTTGTATCAAATGGATGTTAGCAATGCCTTCCTACAAGGCTACCTCTATGAGGAGGTTTATATGCAGTTGCCCCAGGGATTTCATAAGCAAGGGGAGTTGAAAGTGTGTAGGCTTATGAAATCTCTCTATGGCCTCAAACAGGCATCCGGACAATGGAACATAAAGCTCACTGATGCACTGGTTCATAGTGGCTACAAACAAAGTGCATTTGATCATTCCTTATTCACAAAGCAACAAGGAAAAGAGATGGTCATCATACTAGTGTATGTTTATGATTTACTGATTACTGGAAGTTGTCCTAACTTAGACAATGATGCTAAGACAATTTTGCATAAAAAGTTCAAAGTCAAGGACTTAGGAAAATTAAGGTATTTTCTTGGAATTGAGGTCTCACGGTCCAAAAAGGGGATCTTACTCAATCAAAGAAAGTATGCTCTAGAATTGATTTCAGAAGAGGCTTAAGTGGAACTAGTTGCAACTCCTATAGAGTTGAATTAACAATTGTCAACAGTGGAGTATGATACATGTGTTCGGAAGACAGGTCATTCAGAGTTAAGGGATAATTCATCATATCAAAGATTGATAGGGAGGTTGTTATATCTAACTATCACCAGACCTGACATAAGTTTTGTAGTCCTAACTTTGAGTCAGTTTATGCAAAAGCCCAAACAGTCACAAATGGAGGCAACATTGAGAGCGGTAAGATATATAAAAGGGGCACCAGGTCTGGGGTTATTGATGGAGTTAGGAGCCATTGATCATCTCAGTGCATATTGTGATTCAGATTGGGCATCATGCCTCAATACAAGGAGATCTGTGACAAGTTATGTTGTGAAGTTAGGTAATTTTTTGATATCGTAGAAGTCAAAGAAGCAACCTACAGTGAGCAAGAGTTCAACAGAAGCTGAGTACAGAAGCATGGCTGCTATAACTGCAGAGATTACATTGCTAATAGGAATACTGGAAGACCTGGGGATAACTGTGTCTAAACCTCTTTCTTTGTTCTGCAATAATAAGGCAGCAATACAAATAGCTGGGAATCCAATATTTCACGAGAGAACAAAGAATATCAAGATAGACTGTCATTTTGTGAGAGAAAAGATCAAGACAAGGCTTATACATCCATGTTATGTTTCTTCTTCATTGCAGTTAGCAGACCTTCTAACAAAAGGATTGACTGTTGTACAACACAATTTCTTCCACCCTTCAGCTTGAGAGGGAGTATTGAGGAGTAGAGTTAGTTAGTTATATCGAGAGGGGTATTTTAGACAATAGACACACACATGTGAGAGACACGTGAGTGGTGGTTAAGTTGTTAAATATTGTTATGCATTGTAATAGTGCATTATGAAATGAAATCATTTTCTGCTTCTTCCTCTCTGCTCTCCGTATCATATAGATTCTAGGGCTCAAATTGTTCATGCAAATATAGATTCTATCTATTTACCTATCTTGACCTGAATAAATTTTAAACGGTTGAGTCATGAGATAAACTTAAATAAATCTACCATAGGCATCCTCTAATGTTACTTTAAAAAAAATTACTTGCACTTAATGTTTACATCATATAATATTAAAATATAATGATTAAGTGATTAAAAATTAAGAACATGTATTAATTAGTTGTGATTATTAACATAAAAAAGTGTTTCCCATGTAACCCCCACCCTATTTCTCAAGCTAAATTCTGAGAATTTCCATTTTGTTTCTTTGGCAAAAATATGGAGTAGAAAAGTACTAGGAAAAAGCCAAGGGAGACTTGACTTAAATAGGTGACTGGGTAAAGCGAATGAAGATTAAGCACGTAACCCCTCCAATTTCCTCTTTATTGCCGAAGATTGCCTTTCTCCTCTACAGTCTCCTCAACAATAAAACCTCCTCTGCCAGTTCACACACCATTTTATTGCCTTACTTCTCTAAACCAAAAATTTCAGCAATACTCTCAAACGTCATCACCAATTTCTCAATTTCGTTCTTGTTTTCTTTCTCCAGAGTTTGTTTTTTATCAGAAAAAGACTACACTGCGCTAGCTAGCTATGTGAGTTGTTGTTTCATCTCAAATTACATCTTTACTTGCCTCAATTTCCGATCGTGTTTTAATTGTGATTACTTGTTTGATTCTATTTTAAATTTCAATTTTTTTGATCGTTTTGGCAATCAGAATTAATTCCTTTCTTGTTCATTTTCTGTCTTTCTTTCGATTGTATGACATCTGTTCTTTTTATTCGATAATTTCTTTGAATCCCTCGTTTTTTCCATCTCTTATATTTCAATCTGTTCCTGTCTACATTTTGTAATGGAGGAAATTAATATTGATGGTTTTGATGTCAATATATTGGATTCCTCATATGGGTCAATCCCTGTTTTTGCATGAAATTATACGAAGATTGGAAGTCTGATAGATGCTTGTATTGGAAGTCTGATAGATGCTCGTATTGTATCGTATTGTTATGATTGTTACTTAAATTTTATTGTATCGTATCGTTAAATCCAAATGTGTCACTTTATGTAACGACCGATTTGGTGTGGTCATGTCATTATCTTATCTTTTTCTCTCATCTCACCCTTTATTATTATTAAATAATTTTATTTTATCATTAACCCTACCTTTTTATATAATAATTTTACTCTGTATTATAATTTTTCTTATAATATTGTAAATTTATTCTTCATATTGCTGGTGCATAATATCATGAAATAACGGCAAACGATACAATTTATCCAAACATTATATTCATCAAATGATACAGTACAATATAATACAATACAATATGATACATTATGAAACGATACGTAACAACCATCCAAACAAACTGTTAGATTTTCTTGTTGCCTTTTTTTTTTATTATAAATATTGAGAAATTTATACAAGACTTTCATTCCTTATTATTTTGTCAGCAAGAATTTTATTAGTGGTTTTCTACTATGATGAGTTACACCAAACCGCAGTTAAGATCATAGGAGAGTTCATTTTAATATTTGGACTTTGTGTCAAGTTGGCTAGGAGATGCGTGCTGGTACTATGTGATACTAATATAATTTCAATATCCTTTTGATACAAAGTCTTAGTCAAAATGCATGCTTTGACAACACTGGTTGTCTTTGTTAATACTTAGTTTTTTTGGTAATATAGATGCCGATTCCGTGAATTTTCTGCCAAATTTCCAATTCGTTATCCTCTCTTTTTTTAAAAAAAAAATGTATTAATCCTAAACTGCTCCTAGCTAGTGTCTTGACTTTTCGTCCTTATGCATGGGCGTTGGATAGACATTTTCAAAAAGGACTTCTCTGATTCTCTCTCTATCCTCTATGTTTTTTTCTTTTCTTCTCCTCCTTGTGCAAAGTTTTTTGGTAGAAGAATAAATTTCCTCTATTTCCTTCTGTAAATATGTGGGCTCTTTCTCCCTTTTATGTTCATTGGCTGATTTTTTTCGTTTTGAATTTAATCATTTATGCTAATATTCCTTGGGTGGAACTATCGACCAGAGTGTTATCCTACATATGTTTTTTCTGATTCACTAAATACTTCCGTAGGAAAGTCATAAATTTTGGTTATCTTATGCTTAACCTTCAATTAGCAGAATTCTGTCCTTTTACATAACCATAAAAGATGAATAGTTACATACTATAGTTTAACAATAAATTTATGAAAACTTGTTGACGAAGGATAAAATGCACAAACATATATTTATTCTAAATGTGATTAATTCGATATGAAAAGTACCTAAATTGAAATTTTTAAAAGTTTTTATAACAATAAGGGATTAAATAAGGATTTTTGAGAATTTATGCTTGATTTTGTTGCCATTTTTTCACTAGAGCTTGCCATCATTGCAACTACACAAAATCTATTAAATTCCTTAAAGGATTGAATTTTATGAATTTACTATCAATACATCTTGATCAAAATAAATTTTGGAGATATTATATTTTTTTTTTCTAATTAAATATTATATATCACGATTTAAATTTATTGGGGGGTTTTCCCCCTCTTCTTTGTTGAGAGTTTTTTGGGTTAAAAGTGCTTTATTTGGATGAAAGTACCTATTCTCAAGTAAACTTTTGATGTGTAACCGATAGGAAGACTCCAACGGAGACTTGACTTAAAGAATGACTGAGTAAGCCAATGAAAATCAGCCACGTAATCCCCTCCCATCTCTTACTTATTGCCGAAGGTATATAAATTACTTCTCCTCTTCAGTTTCAGTCTCCTATACAAAACCCCACATACCAGTTTTGAACTCACAACTCTCATTCCCTGCGCACGGACTGACTCTCTTCTCTCATCTTCATTAATCTCTCGTCTCCTTCGTTCGTTCTTTGGGTTTTACGACTGGTTTCTCTCTCTCTCTCTCTCTTCTCTCTTTTTTCAAGCACTCTCTAAGTTGTTCATCTAAATTATCTCTGATCATGTAATTGTGATTGCATGTGTAACTTCGATTCGATTCATGGTCCTTTTTGCTATCAATAATTTCTTACTTTTGTCTTTTCTTTTCGTCTTTCTGCGTTTCCAATGTGTAATCTGTTTTTGATTCCCTTGTTTTCTCCTTCTTCTTTTTTTATGTGTGCTTCTAAGAGCATCTCTTTCAGGGGTTCTTCTTTTTACGCAAATCGTTCAGTTATAAATGATTTAATAACTGTGTTTATGTATCATTTTATAAAGAAATATATAAATCTTGGAAGTTAATTCTAGTCTCCGATGAGATGCTCTGTTTTGTATGATATTGACTTCTATCGTCGCACTTTGACTTTAATTTCTTGATGGTTTTCTGATCTGTTTTGTGTAAATATTTTTAACTAAATTTTCCATTATATTTATGTCAGCCAGAATTGGAGCTTTTCTGCCACACCAAACCCTAGTGATGACCGTATGAGACCCTTTTTTTTATTTTTTAAATTAATCTTGGGAACATGATGCCAATATGTAAAAAAGATATCTTTTTCAAATTCTTTGATACAAAGTCTTTGTTATTAGTTTCTTTGGGAAGAATTTGGTGTAGTACTATATAAGTGGCTGATTCCTTGAAATTTCTGCCAAATTCTAATCTTTTTATTTTTCGTTGTTTTTTTCTTGATTAGAATTTAAAAAGAAGAAAGATATTGGAATTTTAGCAGAAATTTCAAGGAATCGCGATGCATGTATATTTCTGAATTAAACTGCTAATCTTTGACCTTTGGCCCTTATACATGCTGTTGGTTTGAAATTTTCAACAAGGCTTTGTCTGTATTTCTCGTTTCTTCAAATTCTCTCTCTGTTCCCCTTTATGTGTTTTATCTTTTCCTCCTCGAGCATAGGCTGCAGCTAGTAGAGTTAAATTCATTTACTTATTTTTGTTAATGTTTGAGCTCTGAGATATATGATTATTTTTCTTGCCTGTTGTGTCCATTGGATGACATTTTACTTTTGCTCTTCATCTATAAAGATTGAAACCAAAGCCTAGTCATTTGTGTCTTGTATTACTTGGATGGAACTATCTCGCAAAAAGTACATTCTTCCCTTAGTTTGATATTTCTTATTCAGTGAACACTTATCTAGGAAAATTATAGGTTTGTCTCTTAATTATAGCTCCTCAATCTTATGCTTAACTTTCAATACCAGAATTGTGTGCTTTTATCTTAACATGCCACATGATTTAACAATTAAATTAGACAAATTTTTGATAATCTGTTAAAGGAGTGCCAAAAGAGCACATTTCCATTAATTATATGAATGTGATTATTTGGATACAGTAAGAACCAAAATCATAACTAACTAGGAACTAAAGCACCGTATGTTATTTAGGATGGATTCACTTCAGTTTCCAGATACATTTTTTCACGATGTATACTTGCATTATCGCCATTGTCGCTAGCTCACCATCTTTGTTGTGTTAAAGCACATCTTTATTGCAGTGACCAAATATTTTTTCTTGCTGATATATAAGTAACCTATGCCATTGGGAATGACTATTTTGTTATTGCAGGAAAATGGAATTCTCTGAAGCAGGCTATGCCATTGGCTCTGATGAGTGGGACGATAATATTCCTGATAACTGGGACGATAGTATTCCTGATAAATGGGACAATAATATTCTTGATACCTTCAAGGTATTTCCCTCAGCAACTAAACCTCAGAAAGGTGGATTTCACTTGGTATGTTTTAACCTTTTTCTTTTTCTTCTTAGCTCAAACACTTTATGAAATGATTAATTTTCTTTTCCATGAACAGAGCACATAGGTCTCAAACTTATCCGTGAATTGCTCTCTTTACATATTTCAGGACAAAGTTTTCGAACAAAAGTGATCTCAAGAGTAAAATAGGAACTCTTTTGTTTTATTTCTTGTTTGTTAAGGTCTTTTTGCATCTTAAGTAGATTGCGTATTTCCTTAGTGTTTTAAGACAGAAGTTATAATGGGCATGTGCTGTTATCTCCGAGTTAGATTTGGCAAAAATATTGAATGACATTTTGAAGTGGTGTCGCTTAGTTCTCATACGTTACCCTGTTCTTCCCCATTTTCTTTTCTGTTTGTGATGATGAATGCACTTGACTCACCATTCATGCAATATACAAGCTTCAATTAATTGAATATCTCATTATGTTTCATGATTAGCTAATCTTTAGTCCACTGTTTTCTTGAGAATGGCATCTTCAGACCTTTCTGCTTCATAGAAATAATCTTTCTGCTTTTGTGTCTCCCTGTTTTTGAGTTTACTTTAGATGCTTTGTCAAATAATTACTTCTTAGAAGAAGCAACTAAATGAGTCTATTGGAACAAAATCCCTTCATTTTGATTACTATACCTCTTTGATAAGTCTCTCGTCTTGGAATGCAGTTTGCAGATTATGACTTCACTGCCACTTATCAGATGGAAGAGGAGAAATTTCCTGCACACATCATAAGGAAAGAGGACATGAAGCTCAAAGATGTGGTGAAGGAACATGTGCTCCCTTTCCTTCCTGCTAAATCGCTGATGAAGTTTAGGGCTGTATCCAAAGAATGGGATAAATGGATAGGTGGTCCCTTATTGACCTACCAACAAAGTTTCTTATGCCAGAGTCTTTCGGGCTACTTCTATCAAGATACGAAGATGGGATGGGATCCTACATTCATATCTCTGGACCATTCTGCAAGTGGAGTTCCCAACCCAGCACTTCATTTCTTGCCTGAAAAGGTCAAAATCCTAAGCTCTTGCAACGGCTTGCTCCTTTGTCAGGGGTGGGAGAAGTATTATGTTTGCAATCCTGCAACCCAAGACTGGAAAATGCTCCCTCTTCCTCAGTATTATCATGGAGCTGAACCAGCAGTTGTTCTTGCATTTGAGCCTTCTCTTCGTAACATTGAGGTGTATTATCATGTTATCTGCGCATTTCCTTTGCTTGGGCAGCCAATTATTGGCTTTGAGATTTATTCTTCAGAATCAAATTCCTGGAAGTGCTCATCTGCATACTGTACTGAGTTAGAAAATCCAAGTCTTGTTGGTGGGGGTTTGTATATGAAGGGGGTTGCGTACTATGAGACGACATCGAATGAAGTACTGGCATTTGCTGTAAAAGATGAGCTTCCTGCAATTATATCTTTACCTACTATGCTTGTTGGGAGACATGGATCCTTGACACAGATGGAAGGAGAGCTATGCTACATCACTGCTTATAATGAGACAGGAAATGTTTTCTTAATAGATATCTACCAAGGCATGGAAATGAGCTTGAAGCGCAGTGTTAGCGTCAATCTTGGACCCAATAGGAGTTACACTCAAGAATGCGAGGTACTACCCTGTGTTAACAGTGATGCTGTGGTGATTTGTGTAGGCAGCTTCATATACTTGTATCACCCCAGGGAGCAGAAAGTTGAACGTACTATGACGAGTTCAGGCGCTATTGGTTATGGCAGAAAGTTCCTGCCCTACATAAACAGCCTTGTTACCCTACACTGAGCTGAAGAAGTCTTAATTCATCACTATGTTCATGGCTTTTCGTTGCAGTAGAAAACCACTGCTTCATCTTCTGGTTTGAAGCATGTGATCCATGAATTTACTGTTCTTTTAGAATCTCTGTTTGAATTCTGACTTGGATGTATACAAGTAGAATGCACGGTGACGTTTTCGTTTTGGTAAATAATGGATTTTGAGCAAAGACATTTCATATAGGTATTGAAATTTCTTGGGATATAATGTCTGTTATCTGTTGCTTATTCACTTTACTATCTCGCAATGAATTTCCTATTTGCTTCCTTCCTTTAGCTAGTTAGTCAGCTACATGGTTGGCTTCTCTGAAACTGAAAGGGAGTTTCAAGAATTAACCTGCAATCATCAATTATGTGAGAGTAGTGGCTATTACCCTTTTGAAGCATAGCAATTATTTCCTTTGCCTTGGTTGATTTTAAGTGGTTACAGTTTGTTTTTGATTGCTATCTCTTATGCCTTCTGAAGTGAGTTTTGCAAACATGTCAAGATATATTTAGTTTGAAGTAATTCTTCTTTTAGGGAATCAACAGATCTCTTTTGATGATATAATTTGTATTCTTTCTTCCTTTCCAGACAAGGTGGGTTGCTCGCTCTGATGGTAAGTATCCTCCACTTTCAATCAAGGGGTTGACCCCTATAGCAAGATAGGTAGTTCTTGGAGGGAAAGATGCCGAGTGTATATTGGAAACAGCTTCTCTACCCCAGGATAAGGGTAAGGTCTGCGTACACCGGCTAGCATAATTTATGTATATAATCAGTGGCTTTGCTGGTTTTTGTAATGCCTGAGTTGGTAGGTAGATAGTCTTTTGAAATGTGCCAGAGGTAGAAAGGTGAACTCCAGCGTAAATGTCCCTTGAAATATATGTTGTTCTTGACCCTCTTCTTTAATAAAACCCAATCCATGAAATGAGTATGAGAGGTCGTATTTGAGATTTTCTTTGTCCAAATCTGACAAAAGGTTTTCTTTTACAACACTGCATTTTTTTGTGAATATGTGCGTTATGATTTCTTGCTTATCTTGATAAATTAGGCATCTGTGAGGAAATATAATACATTGCTCTACTATTCTTAAAAGAGTCTAGCTACTGACTGTGCAAGAGAATTTTGAAAATCCACTGAACCTACACAAAGAAAGAAGAATGAGAAAGAAAATTGTCTTACTCTTTCTTCCTTATATTAAAAAAATCCATTACTTTTCTACTATACATAAAGGAAAAGGAAAGGAAAGTGTCGTCGTGTGTGCCTCCTGGAGGTAACATTTATTTCGAAAGTACATATGGAATTTTTGATTCTTTTTCGGTGAGTTGTATTGCATTGTGTGGTCTAAAGAGTTGACTGTTTGCTCTATTTACTGAAAAGCCAGGACTATTTCCTCTATTCCCATCGCATCCTTGTACTATTATTAATGGAAATGGAAAGACTTGCAGTCCTTTTTATAAGTCTCATTTTGACCCTGCTTTTGCACCTTTTTACAATAAATGTGCTTGTACACTTTCGCAAATCCAACAGATACATGAGCCTTCTTTCAATGCCTATAAAAGTTTCATAGCTGCTGATGTCACATGAAAGTGACACGCTTCACAAGTGTGGTTCTAGCTTTTTTGGCACCATGTGATATAAATTTTTTCTTTTTGAATGTAAGTATCATACGCAGTATACGAAAAAGGGAGCTCATTTTAGTAACTTAAATTTGACCTTTCTTTTCCTTGATTGTAAATTAAAATTAATCCAATCTCTTGCTTTGATTATGTAGTACTTTTTAAAAACTTGCAACCTTAATAACTTTATAACAATAAAAGTTTATCATTAAAAATAAAAAAATATTCTTAAGATTGAAAATATTTACATGTATGAAATGTAACATTTTTTCAAAATATATTAAAATAAAAAATAGTGATACATAAAATGTAAGGGTGGCAAGTGGGCCGGTCCGGGTCCGGGACCGCGGGCTAAGTGGGCCGGGATTGGTAGGACCGTTAGAGGTGGGCTTGGGCCGGTCTCGTGGGCCAGTTTTTGAGTAGGAATCGTTAGGACCAAGACCGTTTGGCCCGCCAAAAGATCGGGACCGGACCGGTCCCTTGGCGGGCCAAACGGTAATTTTTTTTTAAAAACTAGCCGTTGGGCTTTAAAAAATAGTCGTTGGCTATTTAGAAAATAACCATTTAACCCTCTCCCCCTCCCCCCAACTTTGTATTGACTTGCGTGCGCGGTTGAATTCAGTTACCGGATGATTCGGGGTGATTTGGTACACTTGGTCCCTAAAACGGAAGTTTAGGTCATAGGATTTTGACCATAGTCGGAAATGTGTGAAGACGATTCCGGAATGGAGTTTTGTCGGTTCCGTTAGCTCCGTTGGGTAATTTTGGACTTAGGACTGTGTCCGAAAAATTATTTGGAGGTCCGTAGTGGAATTAAGCTTGAAATGGCGAAACTCGAATTTTTGGAAAGTTAGACCGGGGATTAACTTTTTTATATCGGGGTCGAAATCCGATTATGGAGATTTGAATAGCTTCGTTATGTCAATTATGACTTGTGTGCAAAATTTGAAGTCATTCCGAATTGATTTGATGTGTTTCGGCACAAGATATAGAATTTGAAAGTTCAAAATTCATAGATTTTGATTTGAGGTGTGATTCGTCGTTTTGATGTTGTTCGATGTGATTTGATGTCTCGAGCAGGTCTGTGTTATGTTATGGGACTGGATGGTGTGATTGGACGGGGTCCCGAGGGGCTCGGGTGAGTTTCGGGATAGTTTCGGACAATTTCTAGGCCATTTATAGCTGCTGATTTTTTGCTACAGCAGTGTGCTATGCGATCGCGTGGAATTGGCCGCGATCGCGAAGCACAAAATGGGGGAAAATGGCCAGTGAATCGCGATCGCGGAAGGCCTTTCGCGATCGCGTAGAGGAAAGTTTCTGCTGCACTGACCCGATTTTGGAAGCTTATATCTCGCAATCTATAAGGAATTTGGAGATGGTCCAAAAATAAAAGTTGTAGCTCTTTGTATCTTGTTTTCAGAAATATAAACCATTTTTCATTTGGAGTTGTGTAAAACAATATATGGTAAATAAACTACAGGCTGTCCGCGAAGAGTTTGGAAATCTCTATTGCATAGGGATGACTTTGGAAGCTTATATATCGAAATATATAAGGAATTGGGAGGTGAGCAACAAATAAAAGATATAGTCCTTGGAATCTAGTTTTCAGAAAGTTAAACCATTCATCATTCAGAGTTTTGTACAAACAGTTATGACCATTATACTAGAGGCTATCCGGAAGAGATGTGGAGTTTGTTCTTCGCTATCGCGATTGGTTTTCCGCGATCGCGAAGAGCAATTTTGGGGCTGAAAAATTTTGTGCTTCGCGATCGCGAAGAGTAAATACCTGGGCAGTAGCTATATTTTGAGATTTCAGCCATTTTTAACATATTTAGAGCTATGGAGCTCGGATTGAAGCGATTTTTGAGGCAATTTTTACCATATGGATTGGGGTAAGTGTTATATATCCTAAAGTTATATACTTCATGATTATATGGTTATATTCATCATTTATTTCGAATTTAAATGGAAGAAATCAAGATTTTTATAAAATCTTCCAAAAACGAAAATTTAAGATTTGGAGGTCGAGTTGTTATCGGAATTTGATAAAATTAGTATGGTTGAACTCGTATCGGAATGGGTGTTCGGATTTCATGAAAATCATATCGGGTTCCGAGGGGCGGGTCCCGCGTTGACTTTTGTTGACTTTTTGGAATAAATTTTTAAGTCGACGTATTTTTATCCAAAATTATTTTCGAGAAATTTTAATGGAGTTATACAATTAATTTGGATAGATTTGAGCGGTCTGGAGGTCAATTCAAGAAAGGATGCAATTTTGGAATATCGACATAACTTCAAAAAAGGTAAGTGTCTTGCTTAACCTCGAGTGGGGGAATTACCCTGTCACGACCCAAAAAGCTAATCTGTCGTGATGGCGCCTATCGTGGAACTAGGCAAGCCGACTCATTTCCAAACAAACCG